TTTTTTTTTTTTTTTTTTTTTTTTGCGTCATAAACTTTATTTATTTGTTTATTCTGAGTTAAAAAAATAGTATGTATAATAATATTTTGTATATTACTACTTAATGACGTCAAACAAGAAAACATATAAAATTAATAATAAATCCATCATAAAATCAAAATAAAGATGTCTATTTTATTGCGAGAAATTTCCAGTTTAAATAGGTGAGGCAGTGAAAAATATATATTTTTTTTTTGCGATAAATAGGGCTGGAGACGGGATTTTATTTGCCGTCCCTATCTCTGCCCAATTTCCTGCCCACTTGCCCCGTTGGATAACTGGGGCTGGCACGCACACGAACACACACGCTTTTTTTGTTATTAATTATGTTTAAAAATAAATTAATTAATTTTGAGACTCTAATTATAATATTTAAGTCGGTTGAGAAGCCCACACAAGTCCAATTCAATTGGGCTTTCGTGAATGAGTTCCATCAGGTTCAGTAGTGAACGGAATGAATAGAGGTGGACTTCATGATGCTCGATATGAAATTTCGACGGTAATACAAAAATATTTTTATAAGAGAATTTATATATATATATATATATATATATATATATATATATATATATATATATAGATATATATATATATATAGATATATATATATATATAGATATATATATATATATAGATATATATATATATATAGATATATATATATATATAGATATATATATATATATAGATATATATATATATATAGATATATATATATATATAGATATATATATATATATAGATATATATATATATATAGATATATATATATATATAGATATATATATATATATAGATATATATATATATATAGATATATATATATATATAGATATATATATATATATAGATATATATATATATATAGATATATATATATATATAGATATATATATATATATAGATATATATATATATATAGATATATATATATATATAGATATATATATATATATAGATATATATATATATATAGATATATATATATATATAGATATATATATATATATAGATATATATATATATATAGATATATATATATATATAGATATATATATATATATAGATATATATATATATATAGATATATATATATATATAGATATATATATATATATAGATATATATATATATATAGATATATATATATATATATATATATATATATATATATATATATATATATAATTTTAAACGATAGCTTTACCGTAATTATGGAAAAAGAAAACCTTAGATCATATTAAATATAATATATTTAAAATATAAATATGAAAAATAAAACTTTAATTTTTAAAATAATTGTTCTCTGATAAAAAAAAAAATAATAAATAAATAAATAAAAGTCATGAACTCAAAGTTTTTCAAATTTTTAGTTTAATAATAAATGAGACGAAGATTTGAGTATCTAATTTTTGTCGAGATTATAATATTTAATAAATAAGATCAAACTTTATAATATAATATTAATGTGTTAACGGATTATATTTAAAACATATAATATGTTGAACTATAAATTTTTATTTAACTTATAGCTTAAGTAGGAAAAAAAAAAAAAATTCTAAAATTATGAGCGCTAAGATCGAATCCCATCGCGAAATGTGGTGGGGCCGCGCGCCCGCGAAGAACAATGTGGCTTTCCTTTTAACATTTGTCCGATAGTTCGGGAAAGGTCGTTACTCCAACCATCGCCTGAAGCTTAAATTCAGTTAAACAATCGGATGCTTTCCGCCCAAGAACTGCGAAATTTTCCAATATCCAATTTGGAAAGCAGAGAATCAATCCAACTTCAGCTGCTCAATTTCTCACCTCCATTGCCCCCACATTCTTCTACTTTCTGGATCGGACCTCTCTCCGCGAGAGGATCTTTCTGTTCTTTTTTCTTCTGATTGTAGTGTTTCGTCATCTTGTACGAGATAGCAGGTTAAAAGGTTTTTAGAGCATCGTTTAATTGGTATGGTTTGGTGAATTTAAAGTGTTTGGTTTGATTGATCGTATTTGTGTTTTTGTTGTGGATGAGTTTTTGGTTATTGGATCTCTGATTTGTTCGCTAGTGAGTTGGATTGGATACAAATAATGATGGAGAAGGCAGATTCTGCACAAAAGTTGTATACACGCATGCGATTATGGGAATTTCCTGATCAGTATGTTATAGAGCCGACTGATGGCTCTTGTGGTTCGTCTCTGTCAGTCAGCCGTGTTGATGGATCCATGAAACTTATAGGTTGGTAATGAGATGCTTGGTCACATTGACTTTGATGATTTTGGCATTTTGTGATTTTGTTGATTCTGAATGTTCTACTGAATTGACAATTCTCCCTTTTCTGCTCCAGATGAGCTTCCTCAATCCAGTTCTATCAGGGTTCCAAAGATACGGACAATTTTTGGAGTAATTGGCTTGCTGAAACTACTTGCAGGTGACAAATTCTCAAGAACATATGTTCTTAACGTTGAAATTTGATTTAAGTTTTTTTCATTTCATTGATAAACGATTCAAGTTTTATTTAAACAATTGTGTACCTCGTCTCTGTTTTGACATATTTGTTTGTGGCTATGATTATGAAAGTCAAATCGTGTTGGCTAAGAATTTTGACGCTAGAAGATATAAGAATACCATATTTAAGAGGATTTAAGTTTTTTCATGGAGAACAAAGCTGTGGAGAACGTATCTTTGCTTGCTAACATATGAGTTTGAAAGAGTAGCAAAATAAATTAGTATACATAAGGTTGAAGCTTTTTAAGTAGAATCATTTTGAAAGCAGAATCAAAATGGAGAGAGGTTCAAGCTCCAGCGATCTACTAATATTTGGAATGAGATCTAGTTTTAGTTTGATGAGGCTGCTTGGAAAAATGAGAGGAAAAAAATTTAAGTATATTTGGAGCCCAAACTTCTTTTTTTTTTTCCTTTTGTTAAGAAACCAAGCTTTCATGAAGCAAAATAAAAGAAATACAAGGGAATACAAAATGCACTCATAAATTGCAACCGATTGGATGGCCTTCTTGAGGAAGATATTGAATTCAAAAACTTCTTAAGAACATATTGATTTTGAAATTGCAAATCGCACTCATATTGATGTTTTTTCAATATATCATGCATCTTTTGAAGCAAATATAGAATAGTTTCTTGTTTGAATGGCTGAAGGCCACATTCTGACTGTGGTCAACTTTGCTGCATCCCAGTGATGGTTTGAGAAGCTATGTATGGATCAGCTATATTCTTATTTTTATTTTTCTTCACTATAACCTGCTCACATGATTAGATCGCCTCCTATGTCTTCCATCTTTCAGGATGCTACTTAATTGTCATTACCGACTGTGACTGTGTTGGGTCTTATTTGGGGCACCCCATCTTTAGAATTTCATCCTTGAAAGTTTTTCCATGTGATCGTTCAGTAGACAGTTCGTCTGTGGAGCAGGCAAGACTTTATTGCTTGTTTTCTTCTATAACACATGGTATTAAACTGACAATATCATTTCATTTAAGCTAATTAGATAATCTCTAGCAGAAAAAGATGGAGGCGGAGTTTTCTGGACTCTTGAATGTTGCAGAGAAGACTTCTGGTCTCTTTTTTTCCTATGATACCAATTTAACACTGAGGTGATGTGCTTTCTTCATCAGTCATACCTTTGTATTAATTTGCAGCTCCGACTCAGAATCTGGATTAATTGATAAGAGACAAAAGGGTTCATATCTAAAATGGTTATTAATCGCATTTGATGACCTGTCTCTGTTTATTTTTTTATTATTCAGATTTGTCCTTGCGTATTTATATGCACCCATTCATAAGCTTCGATTTGTTCATATTGCTTACATCTTTATCTTGTGCTCAATTCATTATTTCTTTTTGGCTGCAGTACACAAAGATTGCATGCTTTAGGTGATGAATCAAGGTTACTACCCTTATGGAGACAGGTTCGCCCTCATTTTGATTTGTGTTTTTTTTTCTCTAGTTTATATAGCTGTTGTCAAAAAACTATATGAGTTTTTTTAGTGTCTTGAATTGCAAATAATTGGGAGTTCTACACAATTTTCTCTTGCCTGCAGGCAGAACCAAGATTTCTTTGGAACAATTACTTGTTGGAAGTGCTCATTGATAACAAGGTTGGGTAAATAGAAATTTAGTTGCCATCCTTTTTTCTTTGCTTGTAACCCTCTCACCTTGAACTTTTCTGTGCTTCATATTTGCAGCTTGATCCATACTTACTTCCTGTTATCCAAGGCAGTATCCTTGCATTATTCTCAACTCAGTTCTTTTAGCTATGGGTGCATGTGAATGGAGTTGTGAAGTTTATTTTGTTTAGTCGAAATTTTGCTTGTACATATTTGAAGCATCAGTTGTCATCCTCAGGGTAGTCTTTCCTTAATACTTTGTTAGGCTTCCAGAACTTCCAGGCTGCAATTGGAAAAGATATTGTTGATGTAACACTGATTGCTCGGAGATGCACAAGGAGAACAGGTATGTTTAGTGTTTCGCTCTGTTCTAAATCTTTGAAGCGTTATGTTTAGTGTTGGCTGTCTCTTCCTTAAAAAGTGATGAATGAAATACCTGAGTTAAATATGCCAAGGTTACTATCCAAGTTTGACTCAAATTTTCCGATCCCCTAATAGTATTTTAGAAAGAGTTCGCACCAAAGGGAAGAAAAACAAAATAAAAAGCAAGCTTTGGTACATAGTGTACCCTTTTCACTCTCTTTTGTAATTATGATTCGTTTGGTTCCAACTACCTCGAATACTTGACTTATCTTGTAATTCTTTATCTTTTATGTTTAACATCATTCTAGTTGTTTGGATTCTATCACATATAATATAACTTGAAGTTGTAAGATCTTAAGAGCCAAATTATAAGAAAAGAAAGAACAGGAAAAATATTACGAGGTATTATTACTCTCATACTTTGTATGTTTAGCTTGTGACAAGTTGCAAGGAAAAGCTGAGTATTTTGTGGTCAATTTATTCAAAGAAAATCTTGCAAACATGTCAATTCATCCACAGCTAGCAGTTTAAAAGAAAGTTTATCACATAATTATTGACCTGCATGTTCTGAAAGGCACTCGATTGTGGAGAAGAGGAGCCGATTCTGATGGATATGTTGCTAATTTTGTGGAAAGTGAGCAAATTATTCAATTGAATGGGTTCACAGCATCGTTTGTTCAGGTAACAGGCCACGTTGCCCATAAACGTGTATTTTGCATGTGTATCCCTTTTCTTCCAATCATCGGAAATCTGAGTCATGCTGCAGTTCCCTCATTGCCAGCCAAGAGTGTCTGAAAAGGCCCTCCCTGATTTTTCCATTTAGACTTTTGTTGAGTCTTAAAAAGATTACTCTTCTAATTTTATGTTTCATCTAAAAATTGGTTACCTGTCTATTTTGGTTAAATTATCAAACTACAATAGGGCTGATTGAAACCATTCTGTTCTGAGTCAATGTGTTCAAAAGTTCACACAGTGATCAATGCTGATCATAATCAAGGCTGCCTAGGATGCAGAGAGAATCTAAATATTTTAGTCAGGAACTCTTCTAGATGTTTATAGCATCCATGACTTTACATCTCACTTTTGACATTGAATTCTGTAGATTCGGGGATCAATTCCATTACTTTGGGAACAAATCGTTGATTTGACATACAAGCCCAAATTTGAGTTAGTGAAACTTGAAGAATCTGTAAGTATTTTTTCTTACTTTGTATTATTCATCGGATATGGATTACTATAGTTTTGAGCCATTGGTTTGTGTTGCTTCCAGCCTCGAGTAGCTGACAGGCATTTTCTCGATTTAAGGAAGAAGTATGGGGCTGTATTGGTTATTGATCTTGTCAACACGGTGATTCACTAGTCATCTACTTTTTTTTTCTTTTCTTTTTGGTGTTCTTAGCATGTATACATGCATATATATATATATATATATATATATATATATATATATGCATGTATTTGGCAATGTAATTCCTATGGTTAAGATTTTTATATCACCTTCCATCAGCATGGAGGTGAGGGGTACTTGAGTGAAAAATTCGCAAATGCAATGGAACAAGTTACTGGTGATGATGTAAGGTATAGTTTTCTACCCTTTTCTTTTTATATTCGTTTTGGAGCTTATCATTCGCCCGAATTGAGAGCTAAAAAATTATTTTAGATACCTGCATTTTGACTTCCATCAAATCTGCGGGCACGTTCATTTTGAGCGCCTCTCGATCCTTTATGAACAAATCTCAGATTTCCTTGATAAAAATGGGTAAGTTCCCAACATCTCTCGCTCTTACTCCGAAAATTATGAAATAAGCTTTTTGTTCCATTTTTATAGTCAGGCTCCCTGTTACTATAGTTTGGAAATTTTATTGAGCTGCTAAAAATTGGACCCCTTTTGACCTCTCGTTTGTTTACTATTTGGAATATGTAGGTACATGTTAGTCAATGAAAAGGGTGAGAAAATGAAGGAACAGCTGGGAGTTGTGAGGACCAATTGTATTGATTGCTTGGACCGCACAAATGTTACCCAGGTAGCTTAGCTGACCAAGTAAGGGTTGGTGAACAATGAAATAAACTTTAAACTTAGTGCCCTCAAAATTTGTCCACTTTTCCTGTCGATAATAGCAGCTTTAGTTTTCTATCATTCCCCTCTTTTTTAAGCCTTGGCTGACAGAGAAGATCAACAAAGTTATGGACGGGCAATGTGTTTGTTCATATCTGTTGTATATTGGTTTTAAAAGATTTTCATTTTGCACTTGTTTTGTTTGTACATTTTATGTTTGAATATGGTTGCAGAGTATGATAGCTCGAAAGATCTTGGAATCTCAACTCAGGAGGCTTGGAATTTTTGGGGCTGAAGAAACTATTAGCTCACATCCGAACCTAGATGACAGCTTTAAAATCAGTGAGTCAATTCAGTGTCCCATTCATTTCATGTGTCCTTTATAGTCTTAGGCTCATCTTTTCATGTAATTTGTACCGCCGTTTTTTTTATCCAGTTTGGGCTAATCATGGAGATGATATAAGCACACAATATTCTGGCACTCCCGCTTTGAAAGGAGATTTCGTTAGGTACTCCTACCACAGTTTCTTTCCATTTTTTGGCTTATAGCTTCATGCTGTTCAAATATTTTTTCTAATGGCTTCTATCCAACTCTACTTTGTTCTTAAGATGACTAAATGCTTACTTTTGCCTCTAATGAGCCCATTTCTTTACAACATTAGTCAACTTCATGTAAGATCAGTTACTCTGGATTGATAACTCACTGTTTTATACGAAACTACATTATCATCTTCTTTTTGGTGTAGTAATGGTTACTATTTGGGTATATTTTTGTTTTAAATCATTCGATCTGGTTTCGTTGAAGATACGGCCAACGGACGATTCAGGGGGTCTTGAAGGATGGTTGGAATGCTCTCATGCGCTATTATTTGAATAACTTTGTTGATGGAACAAAACAGGTAGGATCCATTTTCATCTTTAGTTTAAAGAAATACTTCGTTAAGCTTACAACCTTTTCAATTGACTTCAATTGCACTCTGGCTCTTGTGAAGGATTCTATCGATCTCTTGCAAGGACACTATATCGTTTCAGTTAGTCGGGATATGACACCCACAACTCAAAAGGGAGGCTTAGAAGCTATAGCTGTGAGTGAAATTTAAAACGGCAGTTCAAAACTTCTGCAGGGAAAGAACTGCTCATTCAAAGGATTATCAAGCAGCCGACTACTAACCTTTTTTATGTCTCTTGTACAGTCCTTCCCACTGGCTTTATCTCTGGTGATGGCAGGATTCTTTTTTGCAGCCTTGTCATTGAGGCAAGGTGAGTCTCTCTCTCTCTCTCTTTCTCTCATTTAACTTGTTAAGTAGATTGAAGAACATCCAGATGATCATGCCATGGTTAAAATCTCATCTCTTTTTATCTTTTGCAGCTCGCTATGATATTCGACACTTGTTCTTTTCTATCCTGTGGGCAGGCCTGAGCATAGCTATAGCAGGTTTTGTTCGGGCCAATGGTCGAATTTTCTGCAATCGACCTCGTCTGCACAAACCTCGATCGTGATTTTGGTTCCAGAGATTGGCAAATTCATCTAACTATTCATTGAAATTCATTTGTTCTTTCGAATATTTCTCAGTCATTTATGTAGTTTTCTCTTGGTTCCATCTGAGGAGCCAAGTTACTCATTAGTACTGATATCCCAGAATGATATCACAGTTCCCTTTTCAGATGTTTATGTTATGTATTGTCGTGTCATATCCAATATGACTCCGAACAATATACATTTTAGAGATATATCATTGTAGCAATTATTCAAACCCATTATGGATTGAAAATATAATTTTTTAATTTTTTAACCGATGTTGCACATTTCCCTCTTGCCTAAGTGAGTTATCACGTGGCACGTGAGTGTCACAGCGAGGGTGAGTGTGCTGAGACGAGTGTCTCGGGCGACTTCCTTTGAAATGAGTTTTTCAAGGACAGTATCGAGTGGCATGGCATGGGTGTGCCAGTATTGCGCCCTAGCCCACGTGTCAAAGTTTGAATTATACACTTGTTATTCGGTACAGTATCCGTAAATGACTTGACATGGGCACGCGAGGGTCAATGCCTCGATAGAACCCGGATGGATGGATGTTTGGAATGTCCTAATGAGATGAGAGTCACGTGGACCCATTTTCGATGACATGACCAAGTGATTAGTAATGGCCGACATCCTGAGACCCGGAATAACATCAAGACATGTGGGCCATGTCGATTGGGAACCAAGATGAGATACAATATTGCATTGAAAGACCTTGATCTCGAGACAAGATCGAGATTAAAAAAAGTAACAAACTACTTTGCAAGTCATTTATTTTGTTGAATATAATGGCTGCTGCAAACTAAACTGGACTGTGGCTTACTAGAGCTCTAGCTTTATGCCTTCTCTTGAAAACATCTTGCCTAAATCTCTTGGTCTCACTCTCCAGCTCTCTAAATGGTGTCCTCTCGATGCTCTCTCTTTCATTCTGCAACATCATTTGCCTCTTTGTCACTGCCATCAAAGCTTTCTGATCTTCCTCTCTATGCTTTGCTTCTTCCTACAAACAAACAAACAAACAAACAAACACCCTTTTCCATAAACAAACTATGTGTGCCTTTCAAGGCTGCAAATGCAAAGTAGAAAGAAAGGGATGATAACCTGAAGATCTCGGATTAGACCATCAATGGACTTGATCTTCCTGTGCGGCCATCGATGAATCCCAAACTCTCTGCATTTTCTTTTCAGCACTGTTAATCCAACATTTAGACTTCTTGAAGCTTCTGTAATAGGAACATCAAAGTATTTAGCCAGATCTGATAGAGCAATTCCGGCAATATGCTCACTTGTAGCTCTCCTTTTCTTCTTTGCAAGAACTGGGAATTCCCCACCTGGTTAGCCAACATTCATAACAGGGACATGATCTGTGTAAAAAGAAGTTGAAGAAGCAAAACCTGGTTCACAGAGTTCTTTCATTTGATGAATCTCGGGCCCTTTAGATACAGCCATTGAAGAAGAGCAAGGAAGGAAGTTGAGGTCTTGATGAAGAAACTTCTCATCGTTTAGCTTGGGAAAACAAGATAGATATGAATCATGCATTGGATCTGCAACATTTGGGAACTCTGTACTGAACCCAGAACTCGTCATCTTTAATCATGAAACAGATGATGTTGTTAGCAGAAATAAGAGGAGAAAGTGACAAACAGAGAAGGAGAAGCAGATAAAGCAAGCAGAGTCAGAGCATGGCATGTGCCAGAACCAACTTCCATAAATGGATGGAAAGATTACCTGTGAAACAACGAAAGCTCTGAAAACTTAGACAGCCCTTTACATGGATGATTTACATGGAAGCTGCTCTTATTCTGTTCTGTGAAGAAGACAAATTCAAAGAGCAGAAAACTCCAAGCAGAGAATAAAGAATGAACCAAAAGTGGTTCTTCAGGAGATGGAATGGTGATTGGATGTTGAACTTCTTCGTCATTTGGCTTAAGAATCACGCACAAGTTCCCATTTTCTGTTGCCCATCTTTTAAATGCCTGAAACCCATCTGGGCTGGTTTTTAGGGATTTTCCCTTCCTAATATTATTCACCATTAATGAATGACCTGACAGTTTCTTTTAAAAGATTATAGGTTTCAATGATGCAATATAGTAAAATAATAAACTTACATATTATCGTAGATAGTTCAACCCGCGTGTAAATGAAAATAGATTTTGATCTCGATATCCAAACGTCTTTAGTCTTTAGGATCAACAAAACGATATATAACATTTCATAAACCGTAACTATATTTAAAAGAATCCATAAATAAATAACTTTTTCCTAGAGAAAGATTATACAAAATGCTCTTAAATTGTGTAAATTAGAATTTGTTGCAAAACCGTGCTCTTTTAGCAGTTTCGTGGTAAATGAAAACTTTCCATCGATCTTGAAAGTTTCAAATTAATCTCACCTTCAATGTTCATGCGTTAATCAGTTTGGTCGAGTTCTTATGAGTGAGCTAGTTTCATCTTTTGAGGCAGAAAAAACCTATCATTCAACTTCAAGAACCTCCACAAAAAAGCCTATTGATGATTATTCAAGAACAATCACAACATTCTCATACATAATAAAATATCATTCACAAAAAACAGTCGCACCATTTCAGATTCCAACAAGAGTACTTTCAAAACAGAGTTAAGCTAACAATTTATCCTGAATTCTAAATGAAAACATTCACTGACCCTCGCCTTATGTATGAAAAGTGGCAGATGAACAGAATCCACCATTCATGACAGCTTTTAGATCTGGCTATTGGGTATTGTTCAGCCATTATTGGTATGGCCCTTTATAGTACCTTGAATAATTGAATTTCAGGAGCTGTCGGCTAGGCCTCATCTCATTTTTCAAGTAAACCGCACAGAGAAGAGTAACTCTAAAAAAATGTGGTGAAATTGAGGAAAAAAGTCGGTGTTCTAACCAAGTTATGAACTCATAGGACTTCAATCTCAACATGCAGTAACTATTTACTCCACAGATTCAGCCTAAACTGCAGAGAACTATACCACAACGACAGTCATCCTACAAACTGGAAAACTACAAGAACAGCGAAGCCTAGGCACCAAAATATAGCAATAGAGAACACTTTAGACTCCATGATCAAGTTACCTACATATCACTGTCTTGACCTTGACTCAGCTCTCCTAGCTTCATTTGGGGTTGAAGGAAACAACTCCACGTACCTCGATCCAATTGTCATCTTGTCCTTGCTCATTGCTCTCTTTGCATCCTCTGCTGAAGCAAACTCCACATAAGCCTCCCCAGTAGCCTTCCCATCTGAACGGCTTGCAATATGTATCCTTTCTTCTGCAAGGTCGAACTCTCCGAAAAATTCAATGATGTTGGATTTTGTCACAGAGAAGGGGAGACCACGCAGCTTCAGTATCTCGGTGTATTCCATCTGGTCCTTGTCGCTGATCCTCTTTTGTCGAGGAGGAGGACTTCCATTGTAGTCATTATCATAAATGCCCTCATAATTTACTTCAGCAGCAACAGCATTATAATAATCCTGCCTTTTGCAGCTAAAGACTTCTACATATCTACGCCCCATATTCTGTCGATCCCGTTGCAACGCGAACTCAACCTGCAAAGATCCAGCAAAGACAACAAAGGCTTCTCCCATGAATCGCCCATTCTTGTTGACAAGCAGCACATCCACAATGTCCAGTCCAGCAAAGAACTTGAAAATATCAATGTCAGTGCAGTTGAAGGGAAGTCCTCTAAGGCGAACCACGGGAAAGGCATGAGTAGGTGGAAAACTCCCATAGCCGTAAGGTTGAAATCCAGCAGTGCTGCTGCTAACTGCGAAGTAGGGATTCGGTTCCATCATTCTTTGTCTTTTTGAGCCGACTTCGTACCCATCCGAAACCCCCCCGCTCCCCAACATTGCCCTTCAATTACCAACCCAGAAAAAGAAAGGAAAATCCCCGCTCAAGCAAGTTGATAAAACCAAGCCCAACCTACACCTCTAAAACCTATTGGGTCAATGAACTTACATGCCATTACCACTCCTACAAACAAATCAATTCAACTAAATATGGAAGGGATAATTATTTCTATACGTAGCAGCAAAAAGTAAATTTCAGGCTCAATGAACATCAAATCAAGAAGCAATAAAAAATGATTTTCCCATGTTTATACCAATGTAAGCCCTCGATGTAAAGTAAAGACTACCAATGAGAACATTAATTAGCCAATGAAATCACTGGCCTTCATAGCCGAAATACCGCTGCAAAAGCTTCTTCTAAATTTGACAGTGGTACAAAAAAGAGAGATAGATCATGAGACACTGAATACCGTAATCGAATTCTTGCTTTTCGGTTGAAAAACTCAAAAAAAAAAAAAAAAAAAAAAAAAAACAAATCCTAACAGGATTCAGATATATGGCATCCTATGACAAGAATCTTGATATCTATCTTATCCGAGAAAGGCCTAGAAAAGCCACCCACAGCGATGAGTTCATTTTAAAGTTTAAATATAAAGAAGAGAATCATGTAAAGAACATTCAACGCATGGATAACTTCACAAATCGCGCTTCCATTTTCTTTTAACAAAAAACTACTTTACTTTTAAATTACACTGACAAAACATATGTTGTTCTTCAAGAATATTTTTACTGGAAAAACACATTTCACAACATTGGCATACAAATCAACAGAGGCCTTGGAGAACAACAGAGGAGCTCCTCATTCCTCGATCCCAACACGCAATTTCAAGCAGAATCCATCAAAATTCCCAGATATTCCAACAAAACAAGACAAGCAACCCAGCAAAAAGAAGAACGCCGGTATAAACACAACAACCAAGAAACGAAACAAGAAAAAACGACACGGAAGAGTCATAAACAAGGTCAGAAATTCTGGACTTACCCTCTTGGTCCGTACATGATTGTCTTGAATCCCCAAAAGCTAGTCTGATAATCCAACGAAAAGGAGTAAATTGGAGCGATTATGAAGAATAAGGGAGTGGATTCAGAGGGAAATAGAAGGGAAGATAGCGGGAAAAGGGAAACCCTAACCAAGATTACGGACGATTCTGAACTTCGATTTGCCTTCCGATTCCACCACCGAAATTGAACACAGACACAACTAGGGTTAAACTTTGATTGCGGATTCAAGATTACCTAAATACCCTTGCTTCCCCATAAATGGTATTGCCAACGATTCCAAGATATTTTACCCCAAATTGGAGTTTACAGCCCCCAAAAATATATTCTTTATAATAATAATAATTTTAAAAAAGTATAATTTTTATATTTTTTTTTATATAAAAACATAATATATATCATTTTCATCGAATATATATTTAAATATCTAACTTTTAGAAAAATGCTCAAGTTAATAAATAAGACAAAAAATGCACATATTAGTTTATATATTTTTAATTGTTTGTTAAAAAAAATATATTATTTTTTAAATTTTAGTAAAATTATTGATAAAACAATATTATTAAATTAACGAGAACAATATTAATTATATTACTAATAAACTATTTTTACAATAGAAAAATCATAATCCTATTAAATAATCTCTTTCTTGCGTGCTTTTAAAATTTTAAAAAACTTATAAAAGCATTAAATTATTTTGGTCCATGAGTTTTTAACATTAATTCTATAAATTATTTCAAAGATGAAATTGATATATACTTTTTTTTTCTCGAGATTTAATATTTAAATTCAAATTATTATTTTTATTTTAAAAAGTATTTAAAATCTTCCTAATTAATCTCATCGTTATTCGTGTATTTTATCTGTCCAATAAAATTTTTATTTATTTAAGAAATAAAGAAAATAATCATATTGTATAATTTTACCAATGGTAGCATAAGTTATATCATAAAACTTTAAATTTAAATTATTTTTTAATACAAGTGAACCTCATAGCATTAAATTTAAATGATTTTTAAGATAAAAAAAATATGTTTGAAGGAGTATTTGCGCATTTTGAATGAATTAAATAATCGAAAAATAAAAACAAATCTTTTTCAGAAAAAGAGAGAAATTTAAATTATTATTTTTCGTACTTTTCAATGGCGTCCTAATGCTTTAAAACTCGGTCAGTCACAGATGCCATGTCAAGACGACACGTGTCACCAGACAGTCACGCTAATTTTTCATTATTATTTTTTGGATAATTTATTTTATCCCAAAAACCAACCATTTTGACACTTTCATAATAACAAAGAAGGCCACAAATATCAACATGGATTCACAAGAACTCATTTCTCATTCAAACTGTTTCACAGGATCGCTCTCATAACAACAACTAGAGGCATAATCAATCTCTTAGAACACCTAAAGTATGAAATGCCAACCCCATGCTCTGGGTGACCAGGGGGATAGGACGATCTTGGTATTGAGATAAACATTTGAGTCAACTAGGGAGATAGGACGATCCTAGTGTTGAGATAAACATGAGATAAACATTTGAGTCAACTAGGGAGATAGGACAATCCTAGTGTTGAGATAAACATTCGGGTCAACCAGGGTGATAGGATGATCCTGGTGGTGAGATAAACATTCGGGTCAACCAGGGGGATAGGATGATCTTGGTGGTGAGATAAACATTCGGATCTTGGTGGTGAGATAAACATTCGGGTCAACCAGGAGATAAGATGATCCTGGTGTTGAGATAAACATTCAGGTCAACCAGGGGGATAAGACGATCCTAGTGTTGAGATAAAGATTCAACCATCGAATATAACTACAAGTATTAGAATGTAACTGAAAGAGAGCGGTAAATTCAGTGAATCAAAATATTTCTAGTTCTTCCTCAAACAAAGATGGGTATGTAAGTTTGTAGGGAGAAGGCGAAGGCAATCACATATTGATAGCATGTAGCAGAAAATATAGATCAGTGATCATCTGGGTGCGCTTTAGAGCACAGCACATGATCCCACCAACAGTTTCTATATCCGTAGTCAATATTTCACTCACTTAGGTCAATGATCTCGGAAAAACAATACTAATTTTTACATGCTGTATATCAGTTAATAAAAAATCAAATCATTTCAAACAACAAAACAATTGACGACGATCAGACAGAGTAAGAACCTGAAAATAGTGTTGCTCTGCAGTCGAATGGTGTCGTCATCGATCCAGTCTTTCACTTTCCCACTCTAATCTGGAGTTTGCTCATTCCAACATTCACCTTTTCAACCTCTGATTTATTCTTCAATTCGTTTTGAGCTATGTTCCTAGGATTGAGCCAAGGATGCTGCAGGCATTGCTGAGCAGTTGGTCGCTTCTCTGGAGCGAAATCGAGAAGGGGACAGAGAAACTCGGCAAAAGCTTGAGCATCAGCTTCCGAAAGTTTATATTTCTCGACCAGCAGTTTATCGAGAGACCAGAATTTCAGCCTCCGAATCCTTTTTAGGTCCCCGTGCCTGTCGAAGTAGTCTTTCGATCGAGCTCCTCCTATTGCAATCTGGGTGCCAAGCCAAACATATGAGAAATAGAAATCAAGAGGTATTAAGAAGCTATAAGGAGAAGTTTGATGTGCTGTGGCTTACCTTTTTAGGCATCTTCCCAAGGAGTTCCATCATCAATGCAAGATGATCCTGAAAGCAGCAAATTGAAGAATTCGAATGCGTGACCAAAACAGAAACTTGATAATGTAATGAAATATCAAACTTGTACCTTTTCACATTTTCCCTACTTGCATATAGTTTAATTAAATGAGGCTCGAAATGCTTGCAAAGATAAAGCATTATCAAACAAAATAACAGCTCCCACCCTCATTTCGACATCGTCAGTACTACTGCAAACAGACATCCCCATGCATGCATATGAACACACGAACATAATGACTTTTAGACAAGTGATGGAATTGCTTCAATCCTAATCCAACACTTTTGATCGCATGCAGTTGGTTTGTAACAGTCCAAGCTCACCGCTAGCAAATATGGTCCTCTTTGGGCTTTACCTTCCGAGTTTCCCCTCAAAGTTTTAAAACGCGTCTACTAAAGAGAAGTTCCTACACCCTTATAAGGAATGTTTCGTTCCCTACTCCAACCGACGTGAGATCTCACAAGGTACTATCTACTCATCGGTTCAGAAAAATCAAAACTAGAGGGCATGCTTATGACCTATATATATTGACCATATCTTCTCACTATTTTTTAAATAAGAATAAAACATGACATGGTATAATAAAAAATGTCTTTGGAATCAGCTAATAATGATAAGTGCTAAGAATCCATATCGCGAAGAAATTATCGTTACCTCGTCCTCGCTATAATCTTGTCCTCCTTTTGGGGTAAACATCATGTCACCTGTGGCAAGTTCAAAAGCAATGCAACCAAATGACCACATGTCAACCGGGTAGGAATATCCGGACTGCAGTATGACTTCAGGAGCTCTGTATTGTCTTGTTTGGATCTCTTCCATAAACTGCCTATCTGCCCAACACGCATTACCGAAATCGACAATCTTGCACCTCAGATCAACGCCATCTAATTTTCTCTCATCAGGCTTTGCGGTTGCTCCTCCCATAGAAGCTCGTTTTTCGGAGATCCTCGAAACTGCTCTCCTGGCTCTTCTTTTCAATTTCTTCTCAATAAGATTCATGGTTCCTCCAATCGGGTTCCCCTCGGGTCTTTCAAGAATAGGGGCCTGTCCAGACCTCACAGGATCTTTTGTAGGATCAATGGTGGACAATAGAAGAATATTTTCAGGTTTCAGATCAGCGTGGATAATGCTAAGTTCTCTGTGCAAATAATCCAGAGCAACCAAAATACATTTGCAGATCTCCCTGACTTTATTCAACTCGAGAACTTTATAACGGTTATACTTGATCAACCGAAGTAAGCTATCACCAAGAAACTCAAGAACCATGCACGGATGTTGCCCGTTTGGCCCTGCATGCTTAAAATGATCAATCAATTGCACAATGCACTTAGAGCTTGAAGGATCACTATCTGAAATTGCCGAAAGAACTTCGATTTCATGACGGGCAGCTTCAGCAAATTGTGGAGCACTTTTCTGGATCTTAAGTGATACATATTTCTAAGGGGGAAAAAAGGAAAAATTAGAACACCAGAAAACATACTGCCACCACCACAATTTAGAGATATTAACAAGAAACAACATTATATATAAAGCCCACAACAATACTTTTCCTGAATCTAAATGCCTATTTCCCTTCATCTGACAATCAAATCTATTGGAAAAAACGTCGCACTCTTTCGGCTAATTTGCGAGTTTGCCTCCCCGATCCTTCTTGTAATCCTCTACCACATTTATTTTCTTACAAATAGTTGAAACCATCCTGAAGCACTTTTACAAGTAGGCCCAGTTGCTAGTTGATGGGGAAAACGGCGGTCGAGTTCCTGTATAACCATGTCCTTTTGCCAAAATGCTAGCCTAGCCCTTCAAACATTAAAGCCAACCAGGAGTCTTTTAATCCCTCATCACCCAGCTACTTTACTGTTCTCCCATTCATTCTTAGAGTACATTGAACAATTTGAATGATTTTCAACAGCATCTGGTCAATATGAAAACTTAATGAAGATTGCTAAGTTACTAACTTAGATCAAAAACCGATATCCATATCCATAACTGGAAAATGTGGATATTAATCGTAATAGGAACCGCACATCAAATGCTCTAAACGTTCCAACCAGGCATGGTCGTAGGAGGGGAAAACAAACCCATCGAATTAATGATAAAAGGGAAAGAAGCAGAAATAAATGAGAGTTATATCATGAAGATCTAACAAACTAAGCTAAGAAACGTATGCCAGAATGGGCATCGCCGCCCAGATCCAAATAAACCGCACAAGTTCAATGCAGCAGAACTGATACGAAATAGCGAAACAGCGTAATAGAATCAAGATTCATGAGAAAACGAAGATCAAAGCAAATGATCAAACACATGAAAGGGTTAGGGGAAAACGTACAGAGGTGCGAGTATCATAGGCGAGCCAGACGGTGGAGAACTGACCCCAACCGAGCTTTCTCTGAGCGACATAGCGGCCACCAGCGAAATGATCGCCGATCCTCACCCCATGATATCCTCCTTTCCTGTAAGAATCGACTCCCTCATCATCCTCAGACCCCGATGAAGACGAACACGACATGTTGTTCACTCAAATTACGCCGATCCGAAACGATCCGATCAGGGTTTGAAAGGGATCGATCGATCTGGGTAAGCTAGAATCTCTCTCCTGGGTTGATTCCTTTGATGGGTTTGGATTAGAAGGAAAAAAGAATAAAGGGAGAAAAGGGGGGAAGTTTCCTTGTAAAACAATCGCTAGTTTGTAAGGCTAATCAGACATAATTACAAGTTATATATACCAAATAGACTGTAAAGTTCTACAAATTTTGATGGAGGGTTGAATTGGTGGGGTTTGGGATTGCTGATTGCTCTGCCCTTCCCCACAACCCTCTCCTCCCCTCTTTTTACTCTCTGTGATTTTCAGACCTCCCGTCCTCCTGCGTCAGCTGGTGGCGGGTGGTTCTATCTTTTTCCCCCGCTTCGAATAGTTGTCTATCTATATAACTATAATTAATACTCTAAATCGCTAAACCTGGGTTAGGTCCCAAAAGATGTTGATTGATAACATATTACTCAACTACTATACTTCTGCCCTAATCAATTCTCATGTAATTATAATACGGGAATTTACATTAATAAATATGATTACCATAAATATGATTAACATGCAAGAAATCCTTCTATAAATAGATAATAGAGGAAGTGCAGAGATTTCTTTCAAATTTATTAAGATATTTTATTATATATAGTTACATTGAAAAATGAATTTTTCACTGCTTAGATCTCAATAAAAATAAATGAAGAATTTTCGGAGTTGTTACAATAAAAAATGAATTTTTCACTGATAATTCTACTTAGATCTCGAGAATTTTCGGAATGAAAAGGATTTGAATATTTGTCGATGCTCTTTCATGGTTGAATTAGATAATCAATGTTAAATATTTTTTTATTGCATTTAGTTCGTTGGTAATGTAAACAAAGTTTTGATTTGTATTTATGGTTCAATGTGTTGCTTGCAAAAAATTTCAAAGATTAAAATAATTTTTTATTTGTATCCCAGGTGGGAGTTTTCTATTTTATTAGTGTTTTCTTCGGTGACGGTTGACACTAGTCTTCTATTTTGTCTTTCTTCTGTGACGGTTGACACTAGTCCGTCCTTTCTTCTGTGACGGTTGACACTAGTCCGTCCTTTCTTTTGTGACATTTTGTCTCTCTCTTCTGTGACGGTTGACACTAGTCTTCTTCTGTGACTATTAACACTAGTCCTCCATTTTGTCTATCTCCTATAATACTAGTCCTCAATCCTCCATTTTGTCACTCTGGATCGAGGAGAAAAGGAGCTCAGCAAGAAGAGGATTGTAACATGAGAGAAGTAAAGAGGTCAACCTCTTTCAAATACAGAACATGGAATCTGCGTACAATTGAAGCTCGAAACCTATTAACGATTTAGAAAATTCAAGAACCAAATCGACACAAATCTCAAATCTACGAGTCTAAACTTGTAATTTAACCATTAATCTAGTTTTTTGTCTAAGTTTTCCATACTTTCTCTATCCATGGGTAATATGAAATTATCTATGAAAAAAAAAAAAAAAAGGCTATATGATAACACCCTCATATTTCAGAAAAAGGCAATGTTTAGTCACATGACTTGAGATTGAAAAAAAGGGAAGACAAATGCAGTAAGCTAAAGGCTCTAATACTTTCAAAAGTTAGTCAAGTATGCTTAAACAGTGTGGTTGGAGCTAATCAATCCCGTATTCAAGACTTGTAATGAATCTATATTGGCTGTTCCTGTGCCTAATTTGTCATAAATCTGGTCAATATCATCACAGGTCGCTGGTGTCACTAAGATAAAGGTGAAAACCGACAATCTTGAAGCAGTAATACAATCAATGACACACATTTCAGCAGCCAAACACATCAAAGCGGAAGATAAGATAAGAATCAAACAGGAACTGCACATTAAAGTGTTCTTTAATCACTCCAAAAGACAAGCAGTGAAGAAGCTATGAACCAACCAACAACCTATCATTTTGCATTCATAAGATTCAGAAACTCTTCACAGTTCCAGATTTTCTCAGATCTTTCTTGGCTAATAGGTCAATCATTGGGGCGAGGGAAAGGGGCAGGTTGTATAATGGTGAAGCACGTCACATAGCATAAACAAGAATAGAAAACCCAAGTTCCCTACCGGAGATGCTATACTAAACTTCCTAATCTTTGATGACTCTACTGAGGATTGTTGGGAGGGAGTCTCACATCGACTAATTAAAGGGTTGATCGAGTAAAGAATACATCTTCATTGGTACGGAACATTTTGGAGAAACTAAAAGCACGTCTCACATCGACTAATTAAAGGGTTGATCATGTGTTTATGAGTAAAGAATACATCTTCATTGGTACGGAACATTTTGGAGAAACTAAAAGCAAAACCATGAATGGACAATATCATACTATTGTGGAGAGTCGTGATTCCTATCAGACTCCTAAATGAGGGCCAAATCAACGAGTCATAATTGTTACCACTTGACCAAGCAAAAAATCCAATTACAATTTAATGGGGTTGGGCAAGTCGTGAAGCACAGCCAAAACACCCCAAATATGACAGATCCAAGTGACTTGGGAGTGAGGGTAGAAAAACCATGCATTGTAGGGTAGAGTTGTCCTAAGAGATAGTCTTTTAAGTCGGATTAGAGTAACCACTCAAGCCCACCACTAACAAATATTGTCTACTTTGGTCCGATACGTATCGCCGTTAGCCTCGTAGTTTTAAAATGCATCTACTAGGAAGAGGTTTCCACACTCTTATTAGGAATGCTCGTTCCCCTCTCCAACCGATATGGAATCTCACATTATTTCCAATATTTGAACCAACTGGTCTAACCCATAAAAATCCAATTAGCTGATGCAAAGTAAATGAAAAGCAATGGATAGCCCACTAATCAGCAAGAAATGGGCATGTGAATGATGAACCAGAACTACTATTTAACATGACAACGAAGCACAGTTTCATATAGCTATTCCAATTCAGGATTTCATACCAGAGATATCGAATTGGAAGGAGTAAGTAACTGGCAAATGCAAGCAAAGGCAGCACATTTATTAATCAAAATGAAACCAGTTCACTGATTACAAAGGCTACAATCCCATAGCAAAATTGTATCTCTCATGATCAGGATAAACTTTGCTTTCAAGAAAGATGGTTACACTTAACTATTATCACAGCTCCCCTTTCCTGGAAATTCAGTAGTAAATCGTTGGAATTGATTCAAATTCTATCATAAGAAACTCAATATGTCAGCAGATTAGACTGCCGACTTAGCTGACACAGTAACACTATTTCACACTAAGAATAATGAGGTCGCTGAAAAAACGTTCAATTTGAATCGAGACACCGAAGAACAAGGGGAGAAAAACCCTAGAACTTTAGTATTGCATTAATCCAATTCCTTAACAACCTTAATTCCCATGCTATTGGCAGTGCCGATAATGGACTTACAAATGGACTCTAGTGGCATGTACTGGCAAAAAGGATCGGACTGCTTGACTTTGGCGATATCGTAAATGTGCTTGACAGTGAGCGTAGAGGCGACCACATGGCCAGGGCGGCCGCTCCCAGACTCGATCCCGGCGGCTTTCTTCAGGTACCATGTGACCGACGGCGACTTTACGGTGAACTCAAAGGTATTGTCCTTGAAAGCCGTAATGGTGACGGCCATGGGTGTGTCAGGCTTGTACTTTTGAGTCCGGGCATTGAAATCCTTGCAGAAAGCCATCAGATTCAGCCGGTACTGACCCAACGCCGGACCCACCGGTGGCGCAGGGCGAGCTCCGCCGGCAGGTACGGTGAGCCTGATGGTGGCGGCGACGGGTCGTCTTGTTAAGATCTCTTTCAAGGTGGCCATAGCTGTTCCCCGGAACTTTTCTTTTCCAGTGAGGTCGATTCAGGAAATGGGAAAATAGGGCTTATGTGTACTCAAAATGAAACGAAGATAGCGATGAAATAAATGGGCCGAAATTAGAGGCCCACGGCCCACCAACTTTTAACGTTATTTGTGTTTTAAAATAAGATTTAAAATTAAAAAAATGTAATATATAAATTTTAAATAATTATTTTATATGCTATTAGCATGACATGAGCTCTCAGAACTGATGACTTTGTTTCTATTCTTTAAAAGATCTCATACCATATAGACGGTCTTCATTGATTATAAATTTATAATCATTCTTTAAATTAATGAACGTAAAACTTTATTAGGTTTGAATTTATTGATACTGATGAACAAAAAATTAATCATTAAATAAAAAAATATTATTGATGATAAGATAAACAAATTTAAAGGAAAAAAAAGTAGGATGCTTATTCCTTTATGTGAAAAGAAATTAAAAAAAAATTAATAAGAATGTCTCGCCAGAATTAGAATTTAGACCTACCTGGATTTTTTGAAGTATTATATCTATGATTATTCTCGGGAATCGGTGTGTAATGAACATGATTATTCCGGGAAAGGACGAAGAAATTCAAATTCTACGTCAAAAATTTCTTGGGTTTTAACTTCCGTTTTGTAATGAACCAAAACGCAGTAGCAATTTTGGTGCAAAATGATTCAAAGACTCCACTACCATGAAATTCGGCCCACGGGTGTTAAAGTTCATATTGCTATTGATCGTGATGGAGGGTGCGAGTGCGAATATGCGCACTGCGCACAATGACGGTGCAATATTTGTTTATGGCTGAAAAGGGAAGCGTGCGACTCGTGAGAGCTGTTCTTTGGGCCCCAAAATCAGCGATGTGTGTACCGCTGAGCCGCGGATTTCAACTCTCTTTCAGACATTTTGAAGGCTCAGTAATTGAGGTAAGTCTAATGGTCTCTGCTGTTTCCAATAATCGATTACTTTTAGGCTTTTCCCCCCTTTGGGTTGTCCTCTAATGACTCTGTTCCAGCTTTGGAGGGCATCCGTATCCACATGAAAAGACTTTCAACCAGTCCGAGTGGATGGAGGTGGCCCCTCATTTTGTTCAAGAACTAAGATATCTTCACTAGTAAGAGATTATTGATTCGTCAAGTTAATGTAGCTTAGCGGATTCTGTGAATTCAGTTTATGAAACTTGAGTATCTATCTGGAAATACCTTTTGAATATTTTGGGTTTTTGATCTCTGATCCTTCTTCCTTTTCCTCTAATCCATGGATTATTGCTAGCCGATGTTGTTTTCCATTTGATACTGATTTTTGTTCTTTGAGTTTGGTTCCCTCTTGTTGTGTGTGGAATAACACCCTTCAATTCCTTTGAACTTCCCAAAAGTTTCCACTAAACCACCTTTTGATCTTGTTCATCTCTGTTTAATTCTGTGATCTTGTTTTAAATGAACATTTTCCCGCACGTACTTGGGACAATATGTGCAAATTTATTGAGTAAAGAAAGCTATGATCTAGAGTTACTGTTTCATGTTTAATGTATTTGGATCATGAACTCATGCAATTCTGTACTTGCTTTCATATTTTCAGGTGCTTTTTCTTGATTTTGAAGTACTTAGATCTTTGTGTGTGCAGCTTTATATTCATCATTCTGTTTTCTTTTCCTCGCATGTTTGACAGATTGGGTTATATTTGAGGAATAGTGATTATCCAGTTCATATCAATGAGGGTTATTTGCCTTCTAGTATTGATGCTTCTCTTCAATGGGAGTTCTTCAATTGGAGATAGCAAAAATGTATCCATGAGACCTGATGTTGTCGACATTGGGGCTTTATTCTCTTTCAGTTCTATGATCGGCAGAGTTGGAAAAATTGCCGTGGAAGCTGCGGTCGAGGATGTAAATTCCGATCCATCCATCTTGGGGGGGACGAAGCTGAAGCTCAGTTTACATGATACCAATTACAGTGGATTCTTGGGCATCATTGAATGTATGTCGTTCGTTACGTGTCGAAATTTTTGCGCATAAGCTCGTTCTAATATGTGTTCTTGATTGTTTTATCTTGAATGAAGATGGTTTATGATTCTTGTTTCTTACACAGCCTTGCGTTTCATGGAGACTAAGACTTTGGCCATAATTGGCCCACAAAACTCTGTGACTGCTCATGTTTTATCTCATATTGCAAACGAGCTCCAAGTCCCTTTATTGTCGTTTTCGGCTACAGATCCCACACTGTCATCACTTCAGTTTCCTTTCTTTATTAGAACTTCACAGAATGATCTGTATCAGATGGCTGCCGTAGCTGAAATAGTTGATTACTTTCAATGGAGACAAGTGATTGCCATCTTTGTTGATGACGACCATGGTAGAAATGGTATTGCAGCATTGGGGGATCAACTTAATGAGAAACGATGCAAGATCTCGTTAAAAGTACCATTGAAGCCTGATGCAAGTCGAGACGAGGTCACTGATGCACTTGTTAAGGTGGCTTTATCAGAGTCTCGGATACTCGTTGTTCACACTTATGAGACCACAGGTATGGTGGTGCTCGATGTGGCTCGATCTCTTGGAATGACAGAACCTGGGTATGTATGGATAGCTACTAACTGGCTTTCTTTACTACTCGACACGAATTCTCCTCTACCTTCTTCTTCTATGGAAAATATTCAAGGACTTGTTGCTTTGCGTCTTTATTCACCAGATTCTGCACTGAAGAGGAGTTTTGTTTCAAGGTGGACTAACTTGACTAATGGAAAGGCATCAAGTGGTCCGCTCGGGTTGAGTACGTATGGATTATATGCTTACGATACGGTTTGGATGCTGGCTCATGCAATAAACGCATTTCTTAATGAAGGTGGAGATCTTTCATTCTCAAAACCTTCCAAGTTTACTGGAACTGATGTTGGAACTTTGAACTTGAACTCTATGAGCATCTTCAATGGTGGGAAGACACTACTTCATAGAATTTTAGACGTCAAGTTTACTGGAATAACAGGTCGAGTTGAGTTCACTCCAGATAGGGACATAATCCGCCCTGCATTCGAAGTGATCAACATAATCGGCACGGGAGAGAGGAGAATTGGTTATTGGTCTAACTATTCTGGTTTGTCAACTGTGCCTCCTGAAAGCCTTTACTCGAAACCACCTAACCGAACCAGTTCTAATCAAAAGCTATATGATGTGGTATGGCCTGGACAAGCAACACAGAAGCCTCGTGGATGGGCATTTCCAAACAGTGGAAGACGATTGAGAATCGGAGTCCCGAGACGAGTAGGTTATCAAGAATTTGTCTCACAAGTAGAAGGAACCGACATGTTCCGAGGCTACTGCGTCGATGTCTTTACTGCAGCAATCAACTTGTTGCCTTATGCAGTCCCCTATAAGTTAATTCCATTTGGAGATGGCGTTACTAATCCGAGCGGAACCGAACTTGTTCGTCTACTCTCAACTGGGGTGAGCATTAGACTGAAAGATAACTTTTTTAATACTAAGCTTCTTCATTTAACTTGAAATATATTCTTGTAGGTCTTTGATGCAGCTATGGGTGACATCGCAATTATCACGAACCGAACCAGGATGGCCGACTTTACGCAGCCATACATCGAGTCTGGCTTAGTAGTCGTAGCCCCGGTCAAGAAGTTGAACTCTAATGCTTGGGCTTTTTTACGGCCGTTCACCCCGAAGATGTGGTGCATTACTGCTGTGTCTTTTCTTGTAATAGGAGCAGTTGTTTGGACTTTAGAGCATCGGATAAATGACGATTTTCGGGGGCCTCCGAAGCGACAAATTATTACTATTCTATGGTAAGTTGTTTGGATTCAAAACGTACCATATTGGCCATGAACTTTCTTATTTTGATTCTTTTTCCTCACTGCAGGTTCAGCTTTTCAACTCTGTTCTTCTCTCATCGTAAGTGAATGAACGTAAACTAGATTTCTTAGTCTTGGTGGAAATGAATTTGATTGAAGCTCATCGAATATTTCACGTCGTTTGTGTAGGGGAAAACACCGTCAGTACCCTCGGTCGAATCGTGCTGCTCGTATGGTTATTTGTTGTTCTAATTATCAACTCGAGCTACACTGCAAGCTTGACCTCTATCCTTACAGTTCAACAACTTTCTTCTCCTGTCAAAGGGATTGAAACTTTGATTTCAAACAATGACCCAATTGGCTATCAGCAGGGTTCATTTGCTCGAAACTACTTGATCGAGGAACTTGGCATTCATGAGTCGAGACTCGTTCCACTCGTCTCAACAGAACACTATGTCAAAGCATTGAATGACGGGCCAACGAATAACGGTGTTGCTGCTATTATCGACGAGCGAGCATATGTAGAGCTCTTCCTTTCGACCCGTTGCGAATACAGCATTGTTGGCCAAGAGTTCACCAAAAATGGGTGGGGATTTGTAAGTACTTCAATCAACAACAACGTTGTCTGTCTGTCTGTTTGTTTGCTTGCTTGCTTGCCTGCCTGTCTGTCTATCAAGTTGTCATCTGATGATCATACACTGTCCCAACAGGCTTTCCAGCGCGACTCTCCTTTAGCAGTTGACATGTCCACAGCTATTCTTAGACTCTCCGAAAATGGTGATCTTCAAAGGATCCATGACAAATGGTTAATGAAAAGTGCTTGTACATCACAAGCCTCGAAATTCGAGGTGGATCGACTTCAGCTCGGTAGCTTTTGGGGACTTTTTCTAATATCTGGATTAGCCTGCTTGCTCGCTCTATTGATATACCTCTTTCTAACGGTGCGCCAATATAGCAAGCATTACCCTGAAGAACTTGGGTCTTCCGAGCGATCTTCTCGATCGTCAAGCTTGCATAGATTTCTTTCTTTTGCAGATGAAAAGGAAGAAGTCATCAAAAGTCGATCCAAGCGTCGACGGATGCAGGAGGCTTCGGTTCGAAGCATGAATGAAGAAAATTCGACATGCAGTTCAAGAAAACATGGCCATGATGATGGTTATGATATTGATGCATGATCTTATTGGATAATAGCATATGTTGCAATATTACAAAATATTTGCTAATCCATACATAGAAACAGTACTAGCCAATCAAATTATCTATCGAGCCACGAAAATGATTTAAAGCAGGAACAGCTAAATTATAAATTAATTTCTAAAAATGCCAACAAAAGTTTATCTTAATATAATCATTTGTTTTATAATTCACGTAGCATACGTAAGATTTTGTTTACGGATTTTCTTCCTTCTTTGCTCTCTTACTCATGTTCCTTTCCTCCCTCCTACACGTCCCTAAATTCGATATATGGATTAGTTGTTTAGGACAAATAGATGTTGCTAACTAGAGATGAAAAAACGACGTGGGGCGACAGTTGAAAGCAACACTAAATGAGGGAGGAATTTGCATTGCGACTAGTTCAAGGTATATAGAGGGAAGAGAAATAGCTCGAGCTAGAGTTTTTCGTACGAGAGGCTCGATGAGTGTAAGCACGAGGCCTTGTGCTTATTTGAAACTTCTAAAAATTTATTAGGCCAAAAAAAGAAATTTACAATTTTACAAAACTTAGAAGGTAAAATTTGAGATTTTTTTTATTGGTGACGATGCCTCTAGTTCATCAATTCTCACGGTAATCTAGGCGTTGTGCTTATTTGACAGCCGAAGCGTGTGGACTGTGTCATTGTAATCAAAGCATCCAATCCCATTTGGAAGAAAATTCCATTGTTTTGATCTCAAAAGGTAAAAAGAAATGATAATGCGTGGTGGTTTTAAATCGTCAATTCTTCACCAAAAAGGGTCAGAAATGGCTGATTCTGCATATATAATTTAAAACACGCAGCCGCCTAATTCCATTAACCCCACACCACTGTCCTTCGGCCGACTTCTTCTCCAGCTTTATCCATTCCAAGAACCTTACCTAATTTAGTACAGCTTACTGTTTCAAAAACCCCCTGGTCTTGCAATTATGGTCAATCGAAGACCAAGGCCGTGGACCCTTCTTCGTCTTCTCCTAGTCGTCTTGCTCCAACAGTTTGAAAATGATCGAGTTTCTCTATATACAAACAGGGGCTTTCATGGGTCTCTGTTAATTTAGTCAAATATTCGCTTATTTTAATACCTAAAGCGAATGTGCCCCCTCTAGCTGTCTGCGCCTGCTACCCAACCTAAAGGGGTCGACTTCTTCCTACCTTCTTGTTTGTCCCTTATATATATTTGGCTTTACTCTTTGAGATAAACTTCATTTTATTGCTGTTTGAGCCAGACCCATTTGACCCATTTGACCTATTTTCTGTATATCTTCGTTCATCTGTGCTTGCTTGCATTTGGGTTCGTGTTTTGAAGCTGAGAAATGTTGCTGGTTTCTTATTTGTGTCTGTGTTTGAGTTTGTTGTGGGGGAAATCGTGGGCGGCTTCTGCCGGCGGCGATGGCACCACGAGGGAGCTCGATCAGACTCCTACATGGGCCGTTGCCGGTGTTTGTGCTATTATCATCGTTATTTCTATCGCCTTGGAGAAACTCCTCCATAAAGTTGGAACGGTAGGCCTCTTTTTTCCTTGTTCTCTTGTTTGTGAAGTTCAAAGCTTCTTAATCAGTTCTTTTGATCTTTATTTCGTCCTAATAAACATTACCCAGTTGAGTTTTTCTCCTATCTTTGTTAGATTAGGCACCACTGATCTTTCTATTTCATGTTCCTCTGTTTTTGTTCATTTAGTGGCTTACGGATAAGCACAAGAGAGCCCTATTTGAAGCTGTGGAGAAGGTTAAAGCTGGTACGTTTCACAACAACTCTGAATAATTACTTATAAACTTTGGTAGATCATCAAACTTGAATAATTACATTGTCGCTTGGTTTGTTTTTGGTTGCAGAGCTGATGATTCTGGGATTCATTTCACTGCTCCTCGCCTTTGGACAGAACTATATCATCAAAATCTGCATCCCCACAGGGGTGGCAAACACTATGCTACCGTGTGCAGCGGCCAAAGGCCTTGATGAGGAGAAGGACTCGAGCGGAGCCGGTGAAGGTGAACATCATAGACGACTTCTATGGTATGAACGTAGGGTGTTGGCTGGTCATGGTGGTACTGTTACTTGCGAGAAAGTAAGTCTTGGATACGTTGTTCTTTGACAGTGTACCTTAATTGTGTCGAGCATGTTTTAGAAAAATCCTCAAACCCATTGTTTGTTGTGTTTGTTAACAGGGTCATGTGCCACTTATATCTATCTCAGGATTGCATCAGTTGCACTTATTCATTTTCTTCTTAGCTGTGTTTCACGTAGTGTATAGTGCTATCACAATGATGCTTGGGAGGCTAAAGGTATGAGAGTTATTTGTATGTTCAATGTGAAGCTTTATAGAGTGTTTTCTTTGGTTACAAGAGCTTTTGGATTGTATATTATATCAATTCTAAGGTACCTTGACTATATTTTCTCATGAATTCGAGTTTTAGTGGTTAACCACGATGGATAATGTGAGATCTTACATTGGTTGGAGAGAAGAACGAAACATTGCTTATAAGGGTGTGGAAATCTCTCCCTAGTAGATGTGTTTTAAAACCTTGAGGGGAAGCTCAGAAAGGAAAGTCCGAAGAGGACAATATCTGCTAGGGGTGGATTTGGGTTGTTACAGATGGTATTAGAGTTAGACACTGGACGGTGTGCTAGCAAGGACGTTGGGCCTCCAAGGGGGGTGGATTGTGAGATCCTACATCGGTTGAAGAGGAGAATGAAACATTCCTTATAAAAGTGTGGAAACCTCTCCCTAGCAGACACGTTTTAAAACCTTGAGCGAAAGACCATAAGGGAAAGTCCAAATAGGACAATATCTGCTAGCGATGGGTTTGGGCTGTTACAAATGGTATCGGAGCCAGACATTGGGCGATGTGCCAGCGAGGACGCTGGGCATCCAAGGGGGGTGGATTGTGAGATCCTACATCGGTTGGAGTGGAGAACGAAGCATTATTTATAAGGGTGTGGAAACCTCTCCCTAGTAGACGCGTTTTAAAACCTTGAGAGAAAACCCAGAAGGAAAAGCCCAAAGAGGACAATATCTACTAGCGGTGGATTTGGGATGTTACAAATGGTATCAGAGCCAGACACCAGGCGGCGTGCTTGCAAGGACGTTGGGCCTCGAAGGGGGGTGGATTGTGAGATCCCATATTGGTTTGAGTGGAGAACGAAACATTATTTATAAGAGTGTGAAAACCTCTCTCTAGCACACGCATTTTAAAACCTTGAGAGAAAGCCCAGAAGGAAAAGCCCATAGAGGACAATATCTACCAGCAGTGGATTTGAGTTATTATAAATGGTATCAGAGCTTGACACCGTGTGGTGTGCGAGCGAGGACGCTGGGCTTCTAAGGGGGGCAGATTGTGAGATCCTACATCAGTTAGAGAGGAGAACAAAACATTCCTTATAATAAGGGTATGGAAACCTCTCCCTAACAGACACGTTTTAAAACCTTGAGGGGAAGCCCATAAGAGAAAGCCGAAAGAAGACAATATCTACTAGCGGAGAAAATTGCTAACCTTTTTCGTAATGATAAGAAATTGTCCCTCGACCTTTCCCTTTCAAAAAACTTCGAAAATGGGATGGAATGCACACCAAAATCTAACACACCACAAGTCATGGTTATGGATTGGATATGTTTTTGCCTCTTTTACTTGTTTAATCTACCTTTGTCAATGCTTTATGCCTTATTTCCTTTCTATGCACAGATTCGAGGTTGGAAGGCATGGGAGGAGGAGACCTCAACTCACAACTATGAGTTCTCAAATGGTATGCCACAATCCTTTTCTTTTCATCTCCTGTCCCAAACATAAGTTCAATGACTTCTTTTCTTATGGATGGATCAGCCTTCACTCTTCAGAGCTAAACTATATGAACTTGTATTGCAGATAACGCACGGTTTCGGCTCACTCACGATACATCATTCGTGAAAGCCCACACGAGCTTTTGGACAAAACTCCCTGTCTTCTTTTATATTGTAAGTAAAGTTTCTCTCAAGCTATGCAACACTAATAATACTGAAAGATCATATAATTACTTGGAACACTAATGTATTAGAGATATGGATATCATGGGGTTCAGACTTTTATACTTACCATTCATTTCTTGTAGAGGTTTGAAACTCTTGAAATACTTCAAATTGTTGCAGGGATGCTTCTTTCGACAGTTTTTTAGGTCGGTTGGTAAGGCTGACTACATGACGTTACGTAACGGATTCATCGCTGTGAGTTTCTGATTCCGAGCTACCTGCTGATCGTAAACGTCTTATTTGTTCGTTTTATGACAATGTTCTGTATCTGTAGGTTCATCTAGCTCCAGGAAGTAAATTTGACTTCCAAAAATATATTAAAAGGTCTCTAGAGGATGACTTCAAAATTATTGTGGGAGTGAGGTAAGAAATAGATATATGATTTTAAGAGTACCGTAATAGCCTAATCTCTGATAGTATCAGTTAGCTCAAGCTCACTGCTAGCAGATATTGTTTTCTTTGGGTGTTCTCTTTCGGGTTTCCTCTCAAGTCTTTTAAAACGCATCTGTTAGGAAGAGGTTTCCACACCCTTATAAAAAATGTTTTGTTCCCCTCTCCAACTAATGTGGGATCTCACAATCACTCCCCTTCGGGGCCCAGCGTCCTCACTGACACACCGTCTGGTGTCTGGCTCTGATACCATTTGTAACAACGCTGGACCCTAAAGGGCAGGGGGGAGGATTGTGAGAACCCACATCGGTTGGAGAGGGAACAAAACATTCTTTATAAGGGTGTGGAAACCTCTCCTTAGCATATGTGTTTTAAAAACCTTGAGGGAAAACCCAAAGAGGACAATATCTGTTAGCCACGGGCTTCAGCTGTTACAAATACTGTGTTTTCATGAGTGGATCTTTTCTTCCAAATGACGAAACATGTACACATCCTGATTTGTTTATTTAATATTGTTTGCAGCCCCGTGCTTTGGGCATCGTTTGTCGTGTTCTTGCTCATAAACGTTTATGGTGAGCTAGTCGATCTGAATTACGTTCTTTCGATGTTCATAATTCTGAAAGCTGTTCAAGTGTGGTTTATTAATGTACTATTTTTCATTTCAGGATGGCAGGCATTGTTTTGGACATCCTTGATCCCTGTGATTGTAAGGAACCTGTTCTTACTTATTGGAACTCGAGTCTAGGCTTGACTGATTATATTATAAGTTCTTAACAACTTCTATCAATGGCAGATAATCCTGGCTGTTGGAACAAAGCTTCAAGGAGTTCTGACAAAAATGGCTCTTGAAATCACAGAAAGACATGCTGTTGTCCAAGGAATCCCTCTTGTTCAGGCATCGGATAAATACTTCTGGTTTGGCAAGCCTCAGCTGGTTCTTTATCTCATCCACTTCGCTTTGTTTTCGGTAATAATCAACACCATTCTTGGCCTCCTTTAGATCTTCTGAGAGTTTGGTGATAAATCTTTGAGTGTTTTTTTTTTTTTTTTTTTGCAGAACGCGTTCCAAATAACGTACTTCTTCTGGATTTGGGTAATTTCTTCTCCTTTTCTTGTCCAATAAACAAAATCCTTATCAAACGAGACGAGTTATATTCGATTATCCCCACTGTCTGTTGCGTTGTAACTCGAGAAATGTTGAATGTTTTCATGTGCAGTATTCCTTTGGGCTAAAATCCTGCTTCCATACTAATTTCACGCTTGCACTTGTAAAAGTTGGGCTCGGGTAAGCCTAACTCCTTTAATGTTACTCTTCTGGCATGAACTGACATGAACTAACATGTCTGTTTGGATGTTTTTCCATCTCAACTCATAATCATACACGGATATATTCATCGGTTGGAGTTAATGTATCATAGCGCGAGACCGTGAACATCGATCGGTTCATGTTAAACGGGTTGTTTCTTTTTTGTGGTGGATTTGCAGGGTTGGCGTTCTCTGTCTTTGCAGCTATATTACTCTGCCACTCCATGCTCTTGTGACTCAGGTACAACTTCTATATTGAATTTCATACAAATGTGCTGTTCTTGAGATGGAGTTCTTTAGTACTCAAAACTGTTTGATTAGTATCATGTTACTGGAGAAGTGGGTTATGGCTGACTTGGTGGCTTTGCAGATGGGTTCGCGTATGAAGAAGTCGATCTTCGATGAACAAACATCGAAGGCCCTCAAGAAGTGGCACATGGCTGTTAAGAAGCGGCATGGAAAGTCCCCAACTCGTAAGCTGGGGAGTCCGAATGCGTCGCCAATGCATTCATCATCTGCATACACATTGCGCCGTTTCAAGACCACAGGGCACTCAAACAAATCATCCATGTATGAGGAGGCTGAGGCATCTGATTATGAAGTTGATCCGTTGTCGCCTAAAACTGATACTCCAGATTTTACGGTTCGAATAGACCGCGGCGATGAACATCAAACTGAAATAATTGAATCCGAGCAGCCAGAAAGAAGGAATGAAGAAGATTTCTCATTTGCTAAGCCTGGACCAGTGAAAAGACCTTGAAAATTCTTTCTGTTTGTAATTAGCTTTTGATAATGTTTTCAGTCGTTTCACACGTAGGAAACTGTATGTGTAGCTCATGATTTGTACATTCTTGGGGTTTATAAATTGTTGGATGTTCATTGGTCAAAATTTTACTTGAAGATTCAATAAGCAAACTGAACATATGCTGAATATGAAGAATGAGTATCTCATTATGAAATCTGATACAACCAAAATCTGATGTCAAGTCAAAGATCTGCGGCATCAGGCTGTTTGGCTCCCACTGCAAAGAAGTCAGAGATCACCTCCAGGGGCATGCCCTTGGTCTCGGGAACTTTGAGGAAGACGAATATCCAGGAAATGATGCATATAATGGCATAGGCACCGAACACCCCACCGAGTCCGATGGAAGTGAGCATAACTGGAAGTGAGTAGGTGACGATGATGTCTCCGATCCAGAATGTGAGGGCGCATATAGCAATGCAAAGGCCTCGAACTCGAGTTGGAAAGATCTCGGAGCAGAGGATGTTGGGGACTGGACCAAAGCCCATGACAAAGCAACAGAAGTAAGCTACAACACTGATGGTTGAGATTGTTGCATTGGCAACAGACCCCATGTTCACCAAGCTACCAATGACAAGCACGATCAGTGATATTATAAGTACCGGAATGGTAGATAGCAGAAGAGACCTGCAAGAAAAATAAAGCTTCATGGTCATAATTGAGTCACAGGAGCAACTCAAAGACCATTTGAACAACAGTGGATTGTTATTTTTGTTTACCTTCTACCAGCTACGTCCATCAGCCTCATGGCAATGCCTATGGAAGGAAGCATCAGAAATGTAGTCAGAGCACTAATGAGCAGTGATGCAGAGGCTGAACCAAGGCCCAGATTGGACAGAAGCACTCCGACTCCTGCCTGTTCTAGAATCTGAGGTGTGTAATAAAGTACACCATTTATGCCTGAAAACTGCATTAACAAAAGAAAATTTTGTCCATGATTGGCAATGCAAAAGGAAAATCCAAAAAGGTTTCATTGAAAGTGGAACGACTGTGTACGGGAATTAAAAAACCACCTGCTGAAGAATCTGAATTCCCATCCCAACAAACAGTGCACGTTTAACGCCTGGCTCGAAGATCTCTTTCCACGATGGCCCTTTAGTGGCCTTTTCAGTTGGACGCATGACTTCTGATCCGATAGGAAAACTGCCAATTCGTAGTGCAGATTGGCTGACCAGACCAGCTGCTTGAATATATTCTCCCTCTCCCTGCATTTCACCTCCAGGAACAGAAAGAGAAGATCCATGCTGATGCGCATCTGCGCCATCTTGATGCAAGTATATCCTTTGATATCCCTCTTCTTTTTTCCCAGTTCCATCAACTCGCTCGGTTCTTTTCCACATCAGTTGCCAGCCACCACCAATTCCAGTAGCACTTACGGTCTCACCAGCAGCATTTGGTCGCATTATGATGCTGCTGCCTCTCCTTGAGACGACATCCTTGTCTACCGTGGTTGACGTCTGACGTGAGAGCAATGGGCTCTTCAAAGTCTCCTCATAATCAGCTTCTGGATCAGATGCATCACCATCACCTTCCTTCTGGCTTTCCATATCCCAGTGATCCTCTTTCCCTTGTAGATTACAAAAGCTAATATCAAATATCAATGCACCTTTACCAGGTTCTTGAAGTAAAATATTGATACCACTAATAGATTAATAGTATTTTCCAAAAACTCACGGTTACATAGAAAGATCATGATGATAATCTTATTCATCATTTCTTGCCTATTATTTAGAAGAAAAAAAAAAAAAAAGCTATCAACGAACTATGATGGTGAAAACTTGGGGATTTTTAATTTGAAAACAGATATAGAAGAAATTCATATATGGCATACGTTATTAACACAAAAAAATGATCTAATTCAAACAAATATTAAAGAGAAACTTCAGGAATGGTGAAACTTTATCCTCGTACCTTGCTGATCGCCCGCCATATTATTGAGCATGCTTCCAAAATTTGGAAGAAGCATGCTGCGCATACTTCCTGTCTCACCAGGAACCTTCTCATGGACACTGCCAAAGAGAGTTACCACAGGATCTATCAATGGCATACTCTGATTAACAATGCTACCATGGCGGGATACTATGCCAAATGTACTCTGTCCAGTAACAGGTTTGGCAATCAAAGACTGGCCTCCCTCAGGTCCATATAACCTGATCTGACCCTTTCTCGTACTCGATTCTCCAGATGCTGGGCCAATTATGTACTCTTCTACGGACGTGTCTCCACTTGAACCCAGACCCTCGACCAGCAGGGCTAGCTCCCCTGCAACATCCTCCCTCCCACGTAGTGCCTGCAGAACTTTCTTGGCCTCGTTCATTCGGCCTTTGCTGACAAGCCAACGTGGAGATTCAGGGAGAAACAGTACTGTTAAAGCAAGGTAAACTAGAGATGGCATAAAGAGGATCCCAAGCATCATTCTCCAGCTAGGTGATTTCGTCAAGGACATTCCAAAAACCATACAGTATGACAAAAACATTCCAATAGAACCAGTGAACTGAGGTAGGGTGTTTAACAGCCCCCGAATCTCAGCTGGAGCAGTTTCAGAAATATAGACAGGAACCAGGGTAACAGCAAGCCCGATTCCAAACCCATCTAAAAGCCTGGCTAATAACAGGACATGAACATCAGGTGCCCAGAACATAACAAGACCACTGGCGAAATAAAGAATCGAGGACATTATCATCATAGGACGCCGTCCGATTGAATCGGATAAGGGTCCCGAGAATGTTGTAATAACTGTAGCTCCAATTAGTGACATGGCCACGATTAGCCCTTCAGTTGTAGGATCACCTTCCAATTTGAATTCCTTCTTGATGTACATAACAGCTCCTGAAATTCATTAGCGGAGTACTTTCAGAAGCTCGGTTTAATAGGCTCATTTTTACATTTTTATAGGCCCAGAATACAGTCTCAAAACAGGTTCAATGTTAAACTAATTCCTCTCATTCCTGAACCTTAAAAAGAAATTCTAGAGATTAAACAGATTACTTATGCTCCAGATATTCCCCAAACATTTAGAAAGCATATCGATCGTACCTGCAATTGTCGCATTATCCCAACCTTGCAACATGTTCCCTATTGCAGCAGCGGTTGCAACGAGCACAGCTCCCCTCATCCTTACCAACGCGATGAATTACAATAACTCTCCTAGCAAGCAAAAGCAGTTACATCAAATGGACGCTGATGACCCTGAAAACTGACTTCCTATGATCCAATCACACTAAACACCACGAACATATACACAATTGGAACGTCAAATTCGAAAACAGTGGCGATAGACACCAACGTAGTTTATGATGTTACATGAAAATGCGATCAAGAGATAGAAGAATCGAAATGCTTAGTCACAGATTGTTGCATTGGAGGGAAAAGGAAATTATGAAAAACAAAAGTACCTAAAATGAAATCGGAGACGACAGAGTTGGGAGTAGCGACTAGGTCGTAAGGAGAAACCACAAAGCAATCCATGGCCGAGAAACGTGGTGCTGGGATCTATTTTCCTCCAAGAACGTGACTGATTCTTCTCTCTCAATCAAGTTCTTCCGAAAATCGATTTTGATTTATTTTATGGCGACACGTGTCCTTCTATATTGCTTAAATTCTTTTTTTTTTTTAGAGAAATTACTTCATATATATATATATATATATATATATATATTACAAATGTGAAGATTGTTATGAATTTTTCCGGTTTTATTTTAACCATATTTTTAAAATCTAACATTTTTAAAAAATTATTAAATATTCTAATTATTAAATTACAATTTAGTCATAAAATCTTTACCAAATATGCCTTTAAAATTTTAATTTTAGATCAATTCTAAAAATTTTCAATTTTTTTTTGGTCTTAGGTCTCCCTCGACCCAAAACGGTCGTGTTTTTCCGGCTTTAGCTAGCTCGACAACGGCTTTAGCCGATGGGTCTTTCTGTAAATGTTCTTTGATGATGTCATGCATCGATCCATCAATCTTACTTGAATGAATATGGGCTAACATGCACAGGGCCGCATGTTCGCCTTCGAACACAGTGCATTAGCTGGTTGATTACTCTTCTCTGCCTTGTGTTCAAATTTGAAATCGAATTCCGCCAACGACTCCTGCCACCGGGCTTGTTTTGCACAATCGCACTTCTAATGGCAGCGGACTTGCGATTGTACGGCACTTACTTTCCAACGACAAGTGAACTAAGCCAATTCATTCTTGCGTCGCCTACGGCCAAGCGACGTATGCTCGAGTCTCTGGCCTCGATTTGAAGAGAAGGTTTTAGAAAACGAGAGCAGAGAGAGATTTTTGAAAGAGACATTATACAAGCAAGCAAAAGACAAATAACAACAGGTCACAGTATATTACCTTAAGTAAGGAGATAGAGGTTTACATGGTTTACAGTGAGAGAAAATTGAATATGCGAGTTCAGACTCCACCCCTCAAGAACAGGATGCCGAGATAGAGCTGAAAGCCAACCTAGACTTTCCTAGACTAGCAAGCTACAAAAGGAACCAGCCGAGCCTCCGAAAACCAAACTGAATCTTCACCACAAAATTAAAATATTAATATTATATTAATTATAAAGTTCAAAACTAATTTAAATTTTTATTAAATAAAATACAAAATTTTAAAAAAAATTAAGTTAACAAACTTAATAAATTAAATACAAAAAAAAAAAATTCTAAAATATTTTTGGGTAAATAAAAGAAATATGTTCCCCAATCATTTACTTACAACCTGAATTATATGCTCTTCCTTTTCATCATAAAATTCCTAACAGTACAAAATTCACAAAAAAAATGCTAAAATTACAGAGAGAAGAGAAAGAACAACTCTATAAGCTTAAGCTTCTTCCTCACAATCCTCTAACCACCACCATTAACAGATACATCTCTTCAAGCTTCTTCCTGTAAATAACTCTATTTTCTATTCAGATCATTAATGGGGTTTCCTCAAAACTTCTTCTTTTCTTCATCATAGTCTTCTTCGTCGTCTTCTTCAATGATTAAGCCCTCGGGTTGCTTGATGGATCGCTTCTGCAGAAGATGAACCTATGCCACCACCTCCTCTTCCTCTCCCTACTAACTGGTTCTGATCTCACAT